CATTTTAACACAACGTGGTGCGATCATCCCCCTTGCGCGGAGTGAGGATTGTCCACCCCGCACAACATGATCTATTCGACCACCATAATGTTACCGCAAAAAAAAAAACACTCTGGAAAAAAAAATAAGAAGCGGTAACCTGGTTGCCGAGTTCACGAAGTGAATTGGCTTGTTTTCCAACGTCGTTGCCAAGCGACGAAACCCAACCCCGATGGCAAACACCGGGGGGAAGGAGCGAGAAAAAAAAAAACGCCGACACGGGTAGTAGATCGTGAGCGCTCTCACTGACTTCCATCCCAAACAGGTCATGATACACACATCAGCACACTCTTCTTTCTGCCTGGGCTGTTTCTTCGCAAAACCCACCGCACCCGCAACTGTTCCTACTGCTTAACTACGGTGGATCTACTCCCACACCCATCCACCAACCGCAGAAAAGCTCCTTCACTCACTCCGATAACGGGTCCCCGCAGACAGCATCCCTGGTGGTCTTGAACTGGGTCTCAACGAAAGAAGCGTCGCCCTCCTCCTCGAAGGGCGAAGACGGGTGGGCCGGCTCGTCCTTCACCGAGAACTCCTCGGCCGTGTGCGTCACCGTTACGATGATCGCCGTCAGCCAGCCGCCCACGAAGACGTGCCCGATCGCGACGGGGAGGGGCACCAGGGCCAGCAGCCAGCAGTAGTGCAGCGCCAAGAAAGCTCCCTTTTTTATTTTGCATGTATTATTGAGCGGGCAGTGAGAGCAGTGGGCAGGGACAGTGAGCACGATGGGGTTGCAAGCAGGGGGGGTGATATGGTTGGGGAGAAAGACCAATACTAAAGATGGGCGTGACACACCGCGCAGCACTTGACGTGATCGAGAGTAGTCATTTCGCTCACGTTCAGCCGTAAAGTTGTTACCATCGGGTGTGGTGCTGCTGGGGGGGGGGTGGACAGTGTAATCCCATGTCGGTGTGTTGTGTCTCGTTGTGTGCATGTCAAATCATACCGTATCATATAATGCATGCCTTTCTTCCCCTTTTCACTTGTCTCGTCTCACACTTGACACGTGCACCTGACACGTCACCCTCAACCTGGCTACAGTAGTACTGATCTCTTCTCATAAGAACCGAATGAAGAGATGACGCGCCCACTGGTGCACATGGTACACATTTGACACGCAGGGAAAAAGTATTCTTAGTACCCAAAAACAAAATCAAAACCAGCGAAAAAAACGAAAAAATCGGAACGTATGCATACGAGAGTTGCACGTGACCATACCAAACAAGCCGTACCCAGGCCAATTGCAAACTATTTGTATGATCGCTGCCAAATCAGTAAACATGAGCGAATATTAGCGGAGGAAAAAACGACCATGTCAAACATGAGAGATAGTGCCGTGCTTCATGCCTCCACACCCCGTTTTAACCGCGCCACACTCACCCTCAACAAACACGCCTTCCATAACTGCTTAAGACCCCGCGAACACCCCCCCCCCCCCCCCCCCCCCCCCCCCCCCCCCCCC